AGGCAGCAGCTGCGCCAGCGCCGAGAGGAGGCCCTGGGCCGCGGCGGCCTCCTGCCCGACCTCTCCCTCGGCCTCGTCTTCCTGCTGGGCTTCGCCCTGCTCTATGGCCTCAAGTAGCAGCTGCGGAGCTGCCGGCCCGGCCTGGCCGCTCGGGGCAGCGCAGGGAGCTCAAGCAGCCAGCATGACCCGCTGGCTCCCGCTTGTCGCTGCTGGGCGAGCAGCGCGGCCTCTTACGCTGATGAGACCTCACAAACAGCGCGGGGTCCCCACACGTGGCTGACGGGGCCCTTTCTCCGTGGACTGTGGGAACATCCCCTCCGCCGACGCTGCCACCAGACCCCAGAGGAATCCATGCACCTGCATTTCGGAGCCACAGTGGATATTAAATGGTTGCCGGCAGGGTTTGTACGCTGTGTGTTTTCACAGGTGACGCTCCGGCTCATCCTGACTGACAGTGCTCAGTCGCTTTCTGAAAGCTGTCCCCGAGCCCTGCCACCGCTGTGTTCCACACGTGATATTACCACATCTCTGCAGCGTTTCCAGAGCGCTGTTCTCCAGACCGTGTTGCTGCTCTGCCCCTCCACAGGGCTCCAGGGAGTACAGTGTTGTGTTCAGATGTCCTTCCTGCAAGGAGGAAGCCTGGGCTGGCGGCTGAGCGTGTTGGGGTCCGCGTGCAACACCACCTGCTTCTCCTTGGAGAACACCCACAACACTTCAGTGTTCGGAGCAGCCTGGCCTGCCTAGGCCCTGACAGGAACTTTGCACAAGACCATATTATCCGGGCCTTCATGGCTTGCAGCAGTGCATTTCTGCATACCAAATGGCATTGTCTGTGTGTTATGTGTGCTCAAGCATCACTTGCATTCAGAATATTTGACCTCACGCGTGTTTGTTTGCACTGGATTTGCTGGACCTGCAGTTCCCTGCAGACACCTGTGTAGCAGGTGTCTACACAGGGGCCAAGCCGCCTCTTCTCGCAGCAGGGATCCCGCGTTATCTTTTCTCCCAATGCAGATATGTTAAAAGCAAATGCCTTGTGCAGCTGCTGAGCTCTGCGATGCTGCAACAACCTTATGTCAGCAGCAAAGTAATGATGTAGAGTATGGTGGTATAGAGCTGGCAGAGGGGACTTYTCATCTATGTTCCTGAGAGCTGCTTCTAGAAAAGGTACCTCTTCCAACTAGACGCTCCAGAGAGCGCAGTGCTGAGCAAACTGAGCCCCGGGGGCAGGAAAAGAGCTTTCCAGGACCCTCTGGCTGTCCACCTGCCCCTGTATGAGGGATCCTACTCTTGAAGTGTCGGCTTGTGAGGAGCAGTAGGAGCTTGGCCTTCTAGAGTGCTGGACAGAGTGCAAAAGACTCCAGCACTGTGACTCCTGTGCAAGTGACAGAGCCCTGGCAGAGGCTGCCCAGGGAGGCTGTGGAGTCTCCTTTTCTGGAAATCTCCAAAATCCGCCTGACTACCACCCTGTGCCCCATGCTCTAGGTATCCCTGCTTTGGCAGGGGGGTTGGACTAGCTGATTTCTAGAGGTCCCTTCCAACCGTAACCATTCTATGATTCGTTCTGTGACTCCATGTCATTCATGGGTGGCGTTGCTGTAGGCAAGGTTTGGCAGGTAAGGTTCCTAAGGTTCCCCTCTAGGCTGGAAGAATGTGGTGTGCGTTACGTGGAACAGCGCTCTTGATCCCACTGTCGTGGTCTGTGAGGCTTTACAGCTGGTGAGATGGGGTGGAAAGGCAGCGTGCGTTCCTTGGGTTGATCTTCCTTCAACATACWGGTGGTGATGGGGACCAAAAGGTGAGGGCTGTCCCTGTGGGCAGGCCCCATGGCCAGGTGCGAGCTGCTGCCAGGCAGAGGCTCTGGGGTTAAGCAGCGCGGGGCGGGTGGGTGCCGTGGATCTTGCGGCTTCCTGCTCAGGGTCCGACACTCGCATCTCGAACGGAGCCRGTGAAATACCTAGGATGAAGTAGTCTGTGTGCCTTAGAAGGGGTGGTTTGGGCACTGTGGTCATGCTGCTTCCACCTCAAGTCTCCCTGATAGACCTTGGACATTAAAGTTTTCCATCTCATAAACTAGTCTTGAAATGATCCATCTATTTCTTTGGATGGGCCTGGGTGGGAAATAGTCTTTTTATTTCCAGAAAACTGGAGGGTGAGCAGACAGGCTGGTGTTTTCCTACCATGCCTGCAGCAGGCTGAGGAAGATGAGACGAGTGGGATGATTCCTGTTTATGTCAAGGCCCTGCTGGGGAGGATGGATTTGCTGCTTGCGGCAGCGTGGAACACGACTAGCGCATCCACGCTAGTGAAACACGCATTCCCAGCATGCGATTTCTACCTATTTTCTTGTGTCAACATTTCCTAACAGTGAGGATGACAGAGCACTGGAACAGGCTGCCCAGAGAGGTTAAAGGTCTCCTTCTTTGGAGATCTTTAAAACCTGCTTGAATGCAGCCCTGTGTCATGTGCTCCTGTGTGTGCAGGGGGGTTGGACTGGATGACCTCTGAGGTCTCTTCCAACCTTAAGCATTCTGTGATTCTTTGATCTATTTAACGTTTCTTTCTTTCCATCATAGAGAGGTGCCCAAAGCAGCTGGGTTTCTTGCAGGTTTCTGCGTGAGAGCAGCCATTGTGAGGTGACTGTGGCACAAGCACGAGAGGAAATCCAGCTGCATCTAACCATGACAGCAGCCGTAGAGCAGCACGGGTGTGTGAGCTGCACGAGACCACTGGGAACTGGACCTCAGAGTAAAAGATGAGAAGAAACCACAGCCCAAGCAGGAAGGATAGGATGTATGACGCTTGTTGCATAAGAACCCTATGTCCCACCTACACCATTGGTGGGATGCTGAGCAAGTGGGAAGGGCTACAGAGCTGTCTTTGGGCAGGGAGACGGCCGCATGAGGTTGCTGAGAGCCATGCAGTGCAGGTCAGTGTGTGTCACTGTGAGGAGCTGCTCCTGGGTGAGTTGTTGGACAGGTCTCAGCTCTCACCACAACTTCAAAGTGCCAGGCCCATGCGCCTCTATCCTGTGTCGTTATACCAGGGCTAGAGGTTATTTATTCGGTGGGCAGATCTACTTGTTATTCCTTGCCATATCAGAATTAGTAACAAAAGACACCCTTCTGTAAAAGGGAAGCAAAAGTAGTTAGTGATGCTGTTCCACTTAACCAAGTTGAAAGAAAGCTCTCCAGATTATCTCAAAAGAAGATAAGTTTGGATGAAGCAGTATTGGCACTCACGGTCATGAAGCCTGRCAGAGTGGATACCCAGTCCATGACACAGTACCAAGAAGGGGAATACTATGTGTACTGGGCTCCCAGCCCCGCTACACTATTGCTGCATGAGCAGTAGTGTGCGGGACGCACGAAAGCCCGCAGGGCCCAGGGGGCCACACATGTACGGAGGCCCGGGGAGGCCGCATGGAGGCCTGGGGAGGCCGTATGAAAGTCCAGAGAGTATGGGGGGCCACACGCGCATGGAGGCCTGGGGAGGCCGCACGAAAGTCCGGAGGGCCAGCTGTGCACGGAAACCCGGGGAGGCCGCGCGAAAGCTCGGAGGTTCCAGGGGGCCCCACCAGCACAGAGGCCCATGGAGGCTGCACAGAAGCCCGGAGGGCCAGCTGTGCATGGAGGCCCAGGGAGACCACATGAAATCCTGGAGGGTCTGGGGGGCCACACTCGCACGGTGGCCCAGGGAGGCCACACGAATACCTGGAGGAGCCGGGGGGGCCATACGTGCACGGAGGCCTGGGAAGGCTGCAGGAAAGCCTGGAAGGCTCAGGGGGCTGTTTGTGCATGGAGGCCCGGAGAGGCCGCATGAAAGCTTGTGGGAGTGGCAAGAGCAAGGCAGTAAAAAGAGTGCTGTTATGCCGATGAGGAGATGCTCATCACATTTGTCACTGCAACAGTGTATTTGTCRCTGCAACCGTTCTTTGGGAGCTGGAAGCCATTTTTTCCATGGGAGGCAGAGGAAGGGCAAG